GACCGATTCCACAGGGAACTGACCGTCTGCTAAGTCGAAAATTTTGACCTGGAACTATTGAGGCCCCCTTGTATATATTGATAGATAGCTGCATGGTGTATTTCGACGGCAAGGCTGCTTGGGTTAGTGTTTTCTTTGAGGGCTTGCCTTGGTCTCCAGTAAACGTGACTCCATTTTTTTGGTGTCGATTTTGGTGATTGAACGACCTCTAGTTTCTAAGCGCTGTGTTACTTTGATGCGTGCTTTTGCCAAAATTCCTTTATGGTTGTAGATTAACGTGCTAGGTAACATGACACCTATCTCTCTCCTACTGGAGCTTAAGCTTGAGTGGGTCAGAGCCAAATCAAGTTAACCAGCGTAGAGGTACAAATTATGGCTCCTTCCACCTAAATTATCGGAACCATACTGTTGTGATATACAATACGGATGGGCGTGTGTAAGCAATGAGACATTACGTGAACTAAACCAAATGTGGCTGTCAAGGCACAGTGAAGGATTAGCTGAGGCGCGTACGCAGGGTAATAGGAATACTTCTCTTGTAGAGATAGGCTCGACTGTATCATCCCTCCATATATATATATATATAAAGATTTTAATTGACTTCATCTCCACACCCTCTTCTACCCTCAGTTCTTCAGACTGTTAAGGTCCAGACTCCAAGACGTCGTACATAACCTCATAACCACAATACATACTCAAGTACATTTGTGGTATGATGGCAGTTATAGTGGCTCCTAAAAAGGTAAAAGAAAAGGCCCACGCAAATTTCCGCCTTGTAAATGAGAGCCTTGAACCATCTCCATTTCAGCATCCTACCTCACCCAATACGCGCACGAGCCTCGATTCAATATCGCAATTGCCATGCCACATCCCCCAGCTATCAGCTTATGTCTTCCTGTTGGAAGAAAAAGGATCACTGAAGGCAGAGCGGAGAAGAGTAGATTGATTATTTGTTTACATATAAAAAGGTATCAATCAAATCCTTAAAAACGTCGGAAGAATATCATCAAGTAAATCGGTGATTAGTTGTAAACTACCATTTACGCTGTGTTCTCTTATCATAGAAGTAGAGCCACACTAGTACCTGTTCATGCAAATCTTACAGGGGAGACGGGACTAGAATGTAAATACTGGATGTTGGGATTGCGTTGGGAACCCTTACGTAATGAAGGTAATCGTTACTAATAGGATTATACTATTAAATTGGGAGGTCTTCTATAGCTGTATGACTGTAGAGAAGACAAGGGAATTAGCACAGTGAAAGGAGGTCAGATAGAATGAGAAGCGAAGGTATTATATTCACGAGAGTGAGATGGACTAAAACTACCCAGTACAAACTTTCTCCACGCGACTGATCTGCATGAGTAGCGTTATTGACGCGACTCCTAAGTTTGATCTTGACTATCTCGGCCAGCTCTTATACCAACCAAACACACCTTGTCATTTAACATATACTTCATTTTCCAACACTTCCCGAATCTAAATATGTCCAAACTCTCTCGACTAGCCATTGGGTATACTCTGCTCTCCTGGACGTACTTTCTGAGACTTTGTGCTTTTCTGTCACCATATAGCCAGTGAATTTTTCAACTGGATAAAGTGCGCCCCCAGAATTCTCTCCGTCAAACTCGCAGTGGAGTGTAGTTATTGTATAGTTGAGGCGAGGGTGGTATCTCACAAAGTCATCATGTTCAATTCGTCGGATATCATCGTGGAAAGTGTTAGCTCTAGCGGTCTCTTGCGCAACACCTTAAGTCTTAGATCGGTGATGAGTCTAGGGTAGTTTGAGTGCAACCAATCCGTCAGTATTTGCTTAGGCATTCTGTGAACTTTCCACCCAGACGAGGCTAAGATAATTCGATTACATGTCGCCTTTGCTTCATCCAACGAGACGAACTCTCTTCGGGCGAGCCTATCGCTTGTTTCATTGCGTCGAAGGCTAAGAATAACTACCGAAGAAGTTGGACTGTAAAAGGTCTCGGGCCAAAAATAGGGACTGTCCATACGTGCGTGGGTTGTTTGCTTCAGTCAGTGCTTGCATTCTGTGTTTGGAACAGCAGGTTATTCTATTCCTAGCGCATGTCTTTATTTAGAGATCAAGTCATTCATGATCAGTGTATTTAGTCCTAGAATTGCGGGAGAAATAGGAATCAAGTTTTTTTTACTGAATTATCTTTTAATTACATACACTTCGCCTGTCACAGGTCAGGCTCCCAGTTAGCTGGCATATTCCCTACCACCCCTAAGTGACCCAGGATCAATCCTACCCCTACAGGCATAGCTGCTCTTATGAATATCTTCCACATCTCTTGGATGCGCCGAGATGATAAAACGTTTAAGCCTGTCAGTGCGGCCTGTACAGCCGGTAAATTATCGATCAAGATGTAGATAACACTGGGTCTCTAATCGCCATTCCTGCTTGTAATTTTCTCAAGGCAGCCACGGCTCTATAAGCCGCTACGCCATAGATCTCTACATTTATATCTTTCCTGGGCCGCTTTGTTCAATGACCGAGCTAGTGCCACTGACAAAGGTTACTAAAGCCCATAAAACACGGTCATTAGAGGCTCCGGACCTATCACTATAAGCACAGAGGAAATTGAATGATAGGATATCTAGTCAATAAGCTAGGAATCATGTTGTTTGTCCTTTCCTTGTCTTATTAGGCTTTTTCCGAGTTGATACCGGCGATCGGAGGGTGTGGCTTGTTCAACTTCCGGCAAAAATCAGAACATCGCCTCGAGCCTCGAATCATGAGTAACGCTCCGCTCGGGCGTAGATTTTTATCGGGTGATAGCCCCAGCATCGGTAGCATTGAGCGATTTTTGGCTTCCGCTGGAGTTGATAAAGTCATTCCCTCTCTTCCCACAGTCTTCACTCAAGCTTTCCGATTCCAAAATGCAATACCTAGTCACTGGATTGCCTTGGCATACTCGCGGCAAAAGTGCTCGCCGATGTCGATCTAGCACCTATTTAATGTGCCGCTTATTCTATGACCACATCTGGCGTGACTGGCACTGGTCCCTTGAGGGTCAACAGGCTGTTAGGGATATTTGGTGCTAACGCCGAGATCCAATCAGAGGCGGCTTCCAGCTTTATTTCCGAACTTTCTAGGATGCTAGCACGTTTTTGCTCCATCCCCATCAGCTTATATGCCGAATCTGTAATTCCAGACGTATGCTTGCATGATTTGGAAACTAGCCAAGCTTGCTTTTATGTGATGAGGTGAGATACGTCTCTACGGGTGTTCAGATTGAAGCCGTAGAGATACCCGCCTATCCAGAGGTTCAGGCACTGTTACTGACCCTTTAAGCTTCAGCGTGTCAGCGTGTTCCATTGGTTAAGACTTTGGTTCGGTGGTTGTTGTTGCCGTTGGGTTTGCTGGGTTGATCTTTTTACAAATTACCTGGGTCCAAGATCTCTTAGTGGTGTCGTGGTGAGCAATTTGTGTGCCGAGGTTAGGCTGGGGGTTTATCATTGACGATCTCTTATTTATATTTGCGAGAGTCTATACTGGGCGTGTAATATTTGAGTCGAATTTTCCGCATAGTACTGTAGCTTACACGGGAATGGATTCTGTGGTTGAGGGCTAGGAGTATTTTCCGCGTTAGATACCTTGAGCTTTGCGCTGTAGGGCCGTCTATATCGCTTCAACTTTTTGTCGAAGCTATTAGTCTATCACGTATTCCAGTGGTTTATTGTACCCAGTGACAATGAGGTCTGCATCTGCAAAGCGTTGGCCCAGTACCCTTACTTCATGTGGAAGTAAGCCAAATTGATGTCTGGACGTGACGAGCTTGCAGATGGTAGAGAGGCAGTATTGCTTGTAATAATCTGAGTTCATAACTGCACACGCCATCAGGGGATAAGCGTGCACCAGCTAAGTTAACCCCTTAGAGTCTGATCACTATTGCCTCCTGGTCGCTGCACACTGACATCAACGTGCTCACTACAATTAGGACACCATTGTAGTTACTCTAGCTATCATAGACAATAACATGTAGAGGAATAAGGGTAGGAACTCCTGTATAAAGATAGGACCTTTTTACTCTCAGTATTTACATCCATCATCCATAAATACAATTCACTATCAATCAATCATCTTACTCTGTCCAAGTGATCTATTGAATTCTCCCATACCTATCAGTATTCTACTCACAAAGTGACGTCTCCCTATCCATCGCCCTCAGCCTTTTAATATAGCTAACTGTAAAATGAAAAACTGATAATCTGGCATGTGCGGGAGTTTAACTGGAATCCCTTTTAGGAAACATGTATGCGTTATGTGTCCAAAAAAATTTAGTACTGCGTTGTTCGCGATGTTCTGGGTATCCCCAGCATCATCCTAGAGCCCGACCACTAAGAAATCCAATCGACTTATTGGAAGTGAATACAACTTCTTAAGAAATTTATGATTAAATATTTTTAACAGTTGTTGTGGCCTAGTAGGAAGCATCTCGAAGTCTTGACATGTTGAGGAGCGGACGGCATAGCTGATGGACTGATGAAAGGATTGATTAAGTGATAAATTGTCGTGGGCGTAACCTAATACATAAAATGTCTACATCAAGGGTTTGCGGTGAATTTGGGTGTTGAGTGGCGGCCAAATTAAATAAAGACGTGGGGTATACGCCGGTCAGGGCGATAGACGACAGAGTGCTCAATCATACCGTGCAATCGATTTCATTTCATCGGATCTTGACTGTACTCGCTAGATCAATGAGTTATGTGCGCACAAGAATGTTGGGTATTTTCGATGGAATGATCAGGATTCATACCCGAGGGTCAGGGGTTGAACGGCATGTCTGTGGTTTTTGCAGATCAATATTGCTTAGTAAAGTCGGTTAAGACGATTTCTCAGCCTCGTAATCCAGCATTTTCGTCGGGCAGCGCAGGGTCCGTAAAGCTTGGAACTTCCATTGCCTATGCAATCTTTTTATTCTTGCGGTGGCCTTGGTTGTCTGTCCAGTCTCTGATGTCAAGGGACCCTCTATCGAACCATGGATGTTGTTGAGCCGGCCGGCGATAGAGAGTTGAAGTATTTTGACCTATTATTGCCTTTACCTTACAGAGTCGCCCTGAGTCTAGTACTAGGTACGAAAGGCGGAGAGGTCTTTGCGGAGCATCAACTAATTGAAACTGGTCTAGGCATCTGGGCATGGGGCGCGAATCTGCAATATCTCTCCCATCTCAAGATTGTAATTCCCCGATTAAACTCTAGTGTCAACCATTTGCTGACTTTGACAGGATGTGCCCTCACTGATCCGTCATCAACACGGCATATCCCCACGATCTAGTCTGTCGGATTACCTGTCGACGTATCGCTTGGCTCTTGTCGTCTCGATTCCCCTCCTCTTCTCTCTCATTCTCTTCTGGCCTCTCACACATCTCAAGGCGACACTCGTTCTCTACTACAACTTCTTCCCCATGGTATACCTTGGCTTTGTCGTCGGCGTCTTTTGCCTGCCCGCTCGGGGCCTTGCTGCGTCGGGTCGCTCCCAATTTTTGAGCATGCTCCGTCGCATATCCATCGGTGGGCTCGCGCTATCAAAGAATATGAAATTTGCCGACATCCTTCTGGCAGACGTGCTCACCTCCTACTCAAAGGTCTTGAGTGATTTCTTTGCGGCTATATGGGCCCTGGCTTCTAGCACTCTTGGTACGGGGGACGCCTCTGCTTGCGCGGGTCGAACTCTAGTACCGCTGATTACGGCTATACCCCCACTCATACGATTCCGACAATGCCTCACGGAATATCTACGCCTGCGCGCCTCGGGTGGGCCTGGTAGCGGCGGCCAACACTTGGCAAACGCTTTGAAATACGCCTCGGCCTTTCCGATCATATTTCTCACGCCTCCACCACTGGGCCAGCAGGCTGAGACGCTCGAGGAGGGGAGTCCGGCACGGAAACTACTATCTTCGAGCTGGCTGCTCGCCGTTGTACTCAACTCGCTCTACTCCTTTTACTGGGATGTGGCTAGGGACTGGGACTTGACTCTCTTCTCATCCCTCGCCCAAAGCGTGCGCACACTCCGGCCGCTCTCCAGGCGCAGTCAAACACAGGCTAGACAGGGTCCGTCTTTTCCCTTTGGACTCCGGTCACAACGATGGTTTCCCCGCGCGGGCTTTTATTACTCTGCCATCCTACTAGATCTGTTCTTGCGGTTTACGTGGATACTAAAGGTCAGTCCCTACTCGGAATATTTTGGTACGGTGGAGAGCGGCATGATGCTTCTCGTCTGGGCAGAAATCTTTCGGCGGTGGATATGGCTTTTTCTCCGATTGGAGACGGAGTGGATTAGACGTGCTGCGGATCGCGTGCATGAAGCCCTCGACGCAACGGAGCTCGAGGGGGAAGAAGTGACGTCTCGGGGCTACGTATGATGATAAGGTGGGCCGCTCTGCTAGAGACAGGCTAGAATGTACGGCACGGGAGAAATGCATTTTTTCATTCCCACAAACAGTAGCTTAACCTAGCCTCGAGGCCAACATGTCACGACTAGGATGTGGGAGCAGACGGGCCAAGCTGCCTGCGATTGATGGTGCCATGGAGTAGGCAATGATATATACATGTCAAGCTACTCTTACGACTAATCTAGGCACGAGGTCGGACAATGAGCTTGGACTACCGAGTTCAGCGTGGACAGATCAGAGAGATGTCTCCCGAGTATAGTAGAATATATGTTTTATAGATATGTAACCATGATGCATACTCAGTCCTCGTCTTCGTCCTTTTCTTTCTCGCCCTTGGCAGCGTCTTTGCGAATAGGGATCCTGATGCCCTGAGTGGCAAAGCAGCGGCTCAGCGGTGTGCTCTCGACGACGCCGGGAAAGCGCTTGGCCGAGTAGACGCTGAAGACGTCGGAGAAGCAGCGGGCGAGGACGGGCGACTTGTTCTTGTTGAGGGGCGCGCTCGAGTTGGCACTGAGATGGGCCGAGCTTGGCGGCGAGATTTCGCTGACGTTTACAAAGGAGAAGCGGAGGCTAGACGGCAGCGGGTCAGGGGGGAAGCGGGGGTGCGGGGGAGGATGACTTACCGGAAATCGCCCTCGGTGCGCACGGAGAGGTCCTGCAGAACGAACCAGATGCCAATTTTGTCCTCGGGGTCCGTGAGGCGAGAGGCGTTGGCGGACAGGCTGCCAATGAGGTTGCGCGTGAACATGCCTTGTGGTGGTGTGGTGGCGGGCATGCGGTGGGAGTCGGGCGGTGGGAAGGAGCGGCCGGGGTAGGGTGACGCCTGGCCCGGCCCGGAATCGGTATAGGGGCTGGACGGCGAGGCGGCGTGCAGGGCGGCGGGAGCAAAGTACATCTGCTGAGGCGTCGGCGGCTGGGAGAAGGTGGCGTGGTAGGCAGGCTGGCCGTTGTAGGTCTGCAGGTGCTGGTGCTGGGGGCTGAAGGAGTTGACGGCGTCGTTGGCAAAGTGTGAGTAGGCGGGCGGGCCGGCGTCGGACTTGACGCTGGAGGGGAGGTGGTAGGTGGGAGCGGCGCCGGCCGTGTTGTCCTGATAAGGCACGGAAATGGTGGAGGAGATGGAGGGCGAGTTGGCCGTCTGGCGCACGAGATTGACCTCGGCCTTGCCGTCGGCCGACCAGAGATCGACGTTGAGCACAAACGTGCCGTGTTCAATGGCGCTGGCGATGCTGGTTAGTGTGAGGCGGGCGCGCAAGGGGAACGACGCACTTGAAATCGGACTCTTTGCCGGTGTCGAGGTCGGTAACGATGAGCTTCACGCACGGCGGCGGCGTGATCGGCCGACGGTCCTAGAGGCGCGTTAGGCGGGCTGCGGGCGGCGGGCGGCGGGCACGAGCGTACCTTGTCGCCGAAGCCACACATGCGCGCGCGTTGCGGCTGCTGGACGACGACGAGTCTGTGGACGTGAGCGGGGGCGGCAGTTGCGGCACGGGTAGCTCACTGGTATTTCTTGCCGTTGTGGTGGCAGGACGTCGGCACCGGGGCGGCGGCAGCGGCAGCGACGTGCGGCGCGTGGCCGTCGCCAGCGTGCAAGGAGTCGGCGAGGGGCGCGCGCGACGAGGCCAACTGCATATAGGGCGCGTTGTAGGGCGCATTCATGTGGCCCTGCGGCGGCGGCAACGGCATGGGCGAGGCCGACGAGTAGACGGTGCCGGTGGTGGCGGTATTACTGTTGGTGTTGCTGGTAGTATTGCTGCTACTGTTGCTGCTGCTACTGCTGCGAAAGGACGGGTCGTGGCGGGTGGCGCGATGGCAGAGCGGCGAGGCATAAGCAGTCTCCATGATCACTGTGGGCGCAATGCAGTTCAAACGCGACGCCGACGCTGCTGAGATGGACGAGGCGGAGTGGCGGCCATGAGGTCTAACGGCGACTTGGCTTCAGTTGCAGCGGGGAGTCTGCGAGCTTTAAGTGGCGTGTGGTCGGCCGCCGCCGGCCTTGTTTCTCCCTCCACCCTCTCCATGCCCTACCAGCACGTCACGTCGGTCGCCCCCGACACGCCTCCTGCGCCAGCGTCACCCATCTGCCTCGTCGCCGATCCGACGCGTCTGCTATACCCGGCCGCCGTCGCCCGCCGAACGCTGCCGTCCGCCCCAATCACATCCTCAACCGCCGCAGCCCGTCGTCTGGTACTCGCTGCGGCCGCCTGCAGTCGCGCCCCGCCATGGACACTTGGCCCTCTCACATCTCACTCGGCCCGTGCACCACAACCTGCAGACACGAGCATTGGCTCCACGTCTGCCGATAAAACCGGTTTGTCTATTATCGCTCGAGCCGACGTCGCTGCCAATCAACTATCAAGCGCCAGGGTATCTCGCTATTCAGGCCCAAATACATTATCCCGCTCCCCTGCCGTGCCCCCCAACGCTCACCGACATTGTCTGCACCGCTAGGCCCCGGCGCCCGCGCCCCCCACTCCCATCCACGGCCCCTCTAAGCCAACTCAAAGATCCCGGCAATCTCGCTCGCCGCACTCGTCTCCTGACTCCTCGACCCGCTCGTCGACGTCGCTGCCGCCTTGGCCCTTGCTTGCTCCGTCTCCTCCAACTCACGAGCCCTGTGCCCTGTCGCACTGGCCTCCTCACCCTGCCAGCTCCTCGTACCCATGCACTTGTCCTCGTCGTCTTTGCCACGCAGCATCTCCCAGACGTTGCCTGTTCGCGCCGTCGACGCAACCCTGACGCCGACGCCATCCCACGCCAACCTATTAATCATGCCCGCAGACCCCTCGCTCTCGCCAAACCGCACAAAACTGACCAGTATCTGCTGCTGCAGGCCGAGCTTCTGCGTCAAGCCCGCCGTCCTCTCGAGCGTGCTCTGAAGTTCCGCCATCGACGCCTCTGTCCAGTCACCGTTGCTCAAAATGTAGTAGCTGACCGGCCGCACCTCCTTTGCACCCCTCTTCATGCTCGATAGTTTCATGCGGTAAGCGGCTAACTGAAGATCTAGGCGCCGAGCAATGTTGGTCTGCGCCTTTTGCAGTCGATGTTTTGCCAGGTACTGGCATAGGTCTTGCGTGCCCTTGCGTCGCCGCGTATCGCACGATACTGTAAAGAAGAGCTCCGTTCCGCCCGGTGACATGCCCTTCACCATGTAGCTGAGGCCCTCAAAGACGTGGCAGACATTCATCCAGTGCGGTCCCATGGAATCCGAGTCATCAACAATGAAAATGTGATCTCGCTGCTCTAGCGCCTCTAGATGCTCAGTCCCGGGTAGCAGGGGAGGCTGTTGTTTCTTCTTCTTATTGGCCTTGCTAAGCTTCTTCCACTGTCGGCACGTGTCGACGTCAAGGTAATCCCCTTGGCCCTCGGCAGCGCAATTGGCTGGTTCGCAAAGTGGCGAAAGTCTACTGGTTGTACCGGCCTGGAAAGAGTTGTCGCTATCGGGAAGGGAAAGGAGAGAGTTGCGTCTAGTGTTCATGGCCGACGAGATGCGACGACCTTTCGACAATATCGTCGATCCAATGCTCGGCCGGTTGGAAGTCGTAGTGCGAGAGGAGCTAACCGATGAACGCACCGAGTTATGTCGCGTATTCTCGACCCCAGGGGCCTTGACCTCAAAGGCAACCGATGAGATGGAGTGTGTAGACGGACTGCGAGAAAACTCGCCTATGCTCTCGACGGCCTTGCGGGAGTGGTAGCTACGGGATGGGAGCTGCGAATCGTGACCGGTATGTGGGCGACAGTAGGAAAAGTTGGTGGATGCTGATGGTCGTGGCCCGACAGACGCGTGCGGTGCGAGGCGATCCCTATTGGAGTAGACGGCATCCATATTAGTAGATTTTGGCGTTGGCGGAACTAGAGAATTTCCCGGCAACGTCACCGAACTAGGACCAGCGAATCGCGGCAGCGGAGGCGACTTGCGAAACTTGAGAAAATACTCTTGCGACGGGAGCGTCTGCAACGCTCCGCCGAGTCGTACCTCGTCATTGTTCGTCTGCCGGCCCCACTGAGCGTCGAGCGCGGCCGACTGGTCCTGACCAATGGGATGGTCCATGAGGCTGGTCTCGCTGACTGTAAGGGGTTTATTGACCTCAGATGATGGATAGGTTAGCGTCGGCTCTATGACATCAGCTGCCTCGCTGTCGTGCATAATTTGGTATGTCTTCATCGGTGTAGTCTCAATGGCAAGCTCACTTCCGTCGTGAATGCAGGGCGACTGCTTCACGTCGAGAGCTGGTGTTTGCGATGGATGTACGCTTGTCGGTGGCGAGGTTAGGGGCGTAATGGCCGAGTCGGTTGTCGGACTGTCCAAGAACCAGCTTGTGGCAGGCGCATCGATTTCTAGTTCTGGTGTGCGACTTTCTATGCCGCCGAGATATACATGGTCACCCGAGACGCGAGAAGAGTCACTCCCAACGCCGCTAAAGAGCGAGGCTCGGTTTGAGGCCGGTGTCGAGATGGCAGTGGAGTGGGAGGTTACGTGCATCCGCCAACTCTCTACGTGCTGGGGAAAGCGTAGGCTGGAGCAGAGCGAGTCGGCCTTGGCATCGGCCATGAAAGAAGGTAGCGGTAGTGGTGGCGGCGGCGTATTTGAGCGCGTAGGATTGCGCGAGCGACTGCGGCGAGAGGAGCAAGTTGAGCGTCGCGATGAGGTCGAAGCGCGGAGCTTTTGCCGTGCCCGGCTGATGACGACATCGGCCTGTCGCGTAACGGTCTCCATACTGGGTGGAGTTTCGTCCCATAGCATTTCGTCGACGAGCGTGTCAAGGATATCCTTGGTGATATGATCTGAACGACGGAGATGATGTTCAAGTTCACCGTGGATATCGAAAATGGTTTGGAACATCTGTTCGCCATCATCGTCATCGTCGTCGTCGTCATCATGGTAAGCGTTGGTGTCGGAGTATAAGGCCTGGGCCATCTGCTGGCGGTAGTCGAGAACACCCTTCCAGCCCTCAGCGACCCAAAAAGCTGCCTCACCGAGGATACGACCGAGAGACCAGATGTCGGCTCCCGCTGCATTGGCACCACCGTGACGATGCGTCAAGGCTGTGGGCGGAGCTAGTTGGGATTAGAGGTGGATGAGATGGGAGGAAGCTGGACGTACCGTAGCATTGAGCTGCTGGTGTTGTGTGGAGCGGAGGGAGGGGCAGGCCGGGGCAAGAAAATTTAAACTGCCAATGGCATGGGGATGGCACACCTTTGCTCAAGACAAGGATATTTGCGGGCGACACGTCGTAATGGGCCCTGACCGAATTAGCTTAATCGAGAGGGAGGGGCATACTTCATACTCCTTAACAGTGTGGATGGCGCGCAAGCCCTTGGCCAGCTGCAGCAAATTTTCCCAAAAGTCGACAATATCGTCGCCTCGACTCGGCGGCGCTTCGTTTTGGAAGAAATGGTCGAGGGTGCCCTTGTCGGCGTATTCGAGAAGGATGTGTGAGCGGTCGCGGTGCTCATAGCTGCCATAGAAGCTAATGAGTCCCTTGGCGTTCTTGAGGGGCCGGAGGAGACTGATCTTTCGCGTGTAGGCGCTTAGTTCATCCCCGGCCGCATAGGTCTCGACGACAAAAGTGTTGGCTGTGGTTTCAAAAGGCTCCGACGTCGGCGAGGACTCGGGAAAGTTGCATTTGGCGGCGGCTGTGGTAATGTGATTGTTCAACTTGTAGATGCCTATGATGGCGGTACGCGGAGTCCCACGCGTATTCAGTGGGCGTCTGAAGGTGATGGGGAGCAGACGCTGACTTTCAAAGTGCTTGTGCAACATGTGGGCATCAAAGATTGGTACGCAGTAGCGTTTCTGGACGGCGCAAAATTCGGAGAGGAACTCGGGATGGCGCGGAAAGTGTCGCGGCGGTCGCGTTATGTCAAAGGGCAGGCGGCGGTCCGAGAGTTCCTCGAAGCAGGCGAAATGCTCAATGTGCTGGGCGCGGTTGATGTTGAGGAGGATGCAGAATACGGCGGCGTGGTCACGGAGGATGAGGTCGGCATCGATAGGTGGCAGGTCGGTCTGGAAGACTTCGGCGAGGATGCAGTCGAGGTTCTTTCGGTGCCAGTCGTCACACATGGTGAAGTAGGACTTGAGCGACTCGAGCGGCAGGAAATGTTCGCGCTCGTCGCCGTCGACATCGGCCAATATCTCGACCCACGCCTCACGCTCCCACGAAAAGTATTCGGCCAGCGCTCCGGTCGCTGGAGTCAACATTCTGCGGAGCTTCGGCGGTGGCAGCGGCCACACGATCGGACTAGGGTACACGCGTCGAGGATTAATATTATTGGTAGCGTTAGCAGCAGCAGTAGTCGTAATTGTAGTGGCAGTAGCAGGGGCTCTAGAAGGCGATTTGGAGACTGCGAGATGACCAAGTTGGGCGCAGAAGACGGTGGAGAGGGAAGTTTGGTAAACAGTGTTGATGGGCTATAAGGAGGGGGCACACCACTTGGAAATAGGCGCGCACGAGATGCCCAGCAGCTAGTCCCCCTTTCATCGCCGTCAATGCAGCCGGCCAGGACCACGCGTCTCATGCCACCTCGGCACCCCTGGCGTCTGCGCTGCAGTTCATGATCGGCGCCGCGCAAACGCCCGCCTGGACCGGCGGAAGGCCGCTCAGCGAGTGTCTGGCCCAAGTCGGCAAGATCGGAGAGCTGCGGCCGCGCCTGTGTGTCCCTTCACCCGTTGGCCCGCCCCCCCCCTGCTGCGGGCACGTGCTGCGCGTTTCAAGACGTCGCCAACCTCCCCGGCCGGAAAAGGCGGACGAAGCGCCGGCTAAGCTGCTGCTCCTCAACCCCATGACGTCAATTGTCTCTGCCGCGCCCGGCCGTCGCGCATCTTCTGTCATGTGATGCTCCGTCGTCGTCTCGTAGCTGTATATGCCGTCTCTCAGTACCGTCCATTTTGACTGTCCGTCGCCTGCATTATTCATAATCTTATGTCGGTGTCAAGACGGCATGCCGGCTGAGGGGAGGAGCGGCACTGGAAACGAGTCGCATCTTCTCTCAAGCTCGCAGAAACGCCGATCCGGCGCGAGTGTGACTGACGCAGTCTTTCGGCCGGGGAGGAGGAGCGGCGACGACCAATCCCCCGCTACCTCGTCGCGCGCCGTCTCTCCAACGTCTACAGAAGACAAATCCTCATGCCTTATCAGCTTGAGAGATAAAACACAACTCTCATTACCAGCATCGCCTTTCAGCAGGATGTCCCCTCGCATAGCTTACATTGACATTTGTCTGTGTTTGAGATACGGGCTGCCGAATGTATCGCACGTAATCCCCCACATTGCTTCAAGGAGATTGTGAATTTATATGCAAACCCTTACGCCATGGTCAGAAATTAAAATTGTGGCCTTTTCTCATGGTAATCTAAATTTTACCTCCCTTCAGACCACTCTACTCGTGGAAACTTTCCTGCCAAGCCGTCAGTGTTGTCTGAATCTTCTTTGTAATCAACAACATGGACTCAGCCCTTGCCAGTGTCTTATCTAGTACTCCTTTATGCCTTTGCCTTTCGAACCAATAAATGTGCAGCTTTGTAGCGGTGTTTTCTGTACAGGCTGAATGACTTTTGATTTCACACACTCATACTGTATTAAATTCGCAGATTCAGCTGAGGTATGGTTGCTAACACTCAGCAGTCGATCCTCCTCAATAAGATTTTCCTCATAGATAATTTCAAAGCCTTGGCTTGGTGGTCTAGCTCGGATCAAGTGGATGGCAGCTGTTTAGGGACTACGTCCAGGAGAGTGGAATATAGGTGGTGGCTAGTCGGTGGATGGTAGGGATACCTGTGACTCAAAGGTCATAGATCGAAAGCCAAGGTGATTTGTCATGGAAAGAGGGATTCAAATCGAGGCTCGGGCGCGTGGTGGCTGAGGCGGAACGATGGAAGGATGGAAGGGAGATTTTATAAGTTTTTCTTTTGTAATGCGGGATTTCGCATGAAAGTTTTCGTTTGTTTTGATTTTTGGCTACCGGACTCGTCATGATTCAACACACAGATGCGTTTCGGCATGGTTCCGGTCATTTAGGTGGGACGAAGCATATCTATACTTCACGGTAGTTAACCTGAGCCGGCCCGGCCCCACTCGTGCTCAAGCTCCAGTAGGAGTGCGACGGGTTTCATTTTACCTAGCACGTTAATTTACAATCAATTAATCAAAGCCTTGGCTCACCCAAGCATGCCCTTGTCACTCTCTACACGATCACCGCGAATTATGCGCTCGAAACTTGCTGAATTCAGACCAGCTACCCTCTGCATCGACTTGGATAGCTATACAGACTCTGCTAGAGGGCCATTTATCCATACCGCGGCTACAGTGTTGTCTTCAGGCCCACAGACGAATTCGTGGCGATCACCATACTCTTCACCATGAAAATCTCAATAAAATATCGGAAAATCAGCCTCATTAAGGGTGCTTTTATTGTTGGCATATCTAATCCGCCTTTCGTGATATCCCTTACGTCTATTCTGAACATATATCCCATCATGTATATGCGCCGCTATTCACATTGTCGTAGGCGTGTGTTTTGTGGCTAGAGGCCATACCGACTAGAGGCATGGTCATTTAAGCGAGAATGTGCTAGGCCGTACCTGTAGACTTATTGAGAGCTGATTCATATTTATGCGTTAATTATGTTGTTGGTGCTCTAATTGGAATCTGACTTGACTTTATTGGCGAGGCGTTCGGGGCAGAGAAGAAGACATGGACTGAAATTGAGAAAACCACATTTTTCGAGATACCGATGATAGATTATCTTTCGCGACTTCGTAATGGCATCCAAATTGTATTACTTTATGTCTTACTAACAAGAGTTGATGAGACTTTGGTTGGAGAATATCTTGTTGAGTGTACAGGATTGAATTCGTGAGTCTTGAATCATTGCAGCATACATCAAACACTTTAGTCTTGTAAATTCAATTAAACCCTCCAGGTGATAACATTTCTCGCTCTATTTCATTGGTGACCCGATAACAGCTACTCGCTCCTCGTGCTTCTTTAGGCCCTTTGATTAGTGGCGTCCGGCCGAATCAGTTCGTCAGTAGCCTCCAGGATATTGACCCTGGGCCCATGGTTGTGTTCTAGAAACATGACAGCAAAGCATTGAATGTATTCTGTACTAGCTATATGCAAGATTGTTGTGGAAGGATGACAACGTCAACTACTGCATGGATAGGAAGAGCCATAATCTGACTGGTAAGAAATGTATCTTGGCAGTTTGCAGGGATCGTGAGATTGTATCCAGGCTTTATTTAGCGTTACGTTAAGCGAACACACAGTCGGCATAGAAGAATTCCTCACTCTTCCGCAGAGTTACTATCTACACCCAGCTTGTCCTGCAACTGGGATAGCCAAACCAAATTGTATCCGAATTAAAGTCGAAAGCATCCACAAGCATCCATATCATCAATTTTGGTCCTACGCGTGTCACGCCGTTCCAACTTAATCCTCCCGCAACCCATCTCGCCTCATTAGTCGTCAGCAATCTCCCATTAGAAAATTACAATTCTACGTGTTCCGACATGGAACTAAATATGCCGTGAGACAAGATCTCGGATTTTGGCCTTTTGGGTACCCGCTATTCTAAAATTAGAGGGAAGAGATGATCGATGAGCATACTCGGACTGACGCTTTTGGGAGCTTTGTGGGCGGACTTTAATCGATTAAAATACAGCATTCCCCAGTACCCCAGACTGCACTACCAGGTTGAGCTAAACTACTATACGGCTCACATACTCTGTCATAACTTTTCTGACATTTCAACCAGATCTTCAGGAAAGAGGCTAGAAAGGCAGAGTGTGAATTTTCTGAGTTACCTACAAGTCAGTAGCGCCTAGCTGGCCGGCCTCCTCGAGCGCTTCATTCTGATGGCCTTATCTTCGGATTTAGTCCTGATATTGGTGGTAGAGAGTTTGCCACGCGGTTGTTTTTGCAATATTTCCCGCCCGCTATACCCCTGGAAATGGTCATCGTTTCGTTGGCTGAAGAAGGGAGACAATGACAAGGCAACGGCTACTCTTAGTGTGTACTCGAATGAAGACCTGTGGGGGGTGCAACTGCTGGAAAGAAGTCGGGAGGAAGCCATAGCCAGGAGTTAACACCCGAGACAAATACTTGCGGCCTGTAGATAGAAATGACCTAGTGTCCATTACACATTCATGGAACCAATAGGACAATAAACACTAACAGACAAACAAACCCATATGTCCAAAATATTTGCGCAGGAAACCGGCTGTTTTGATAGACGACCTGCTCACTCATCCACTGCTCTCAGCGGGGATCAGATTAACTAGTCATTGCCACAACACATGACAAGAAAGGGAACGAGGCGAGAAGTGTCGTTTCTCTGAGGAAAGATTGTAGCTATTTGGATTTAGGGAAAAGGATTGATTTTTGATCTAGGAGTTGGAGTAGGTGGTGTCCGCGTCGTAATTTACTTCCTGCTATTTCTGTAGCAAGTCCAGCGGTTGGAATGAGTTGGGCCTGTAAGCAGTGATCCCCGCCGGCTCCACCAGTCTTGTACCTGTAGTGGACCTAGAGCTTTAGCTTAGGACTTTAATATAATAAAAATAAAAAATAAAAACCCATATGTTGGCCCATGTCAGACTTGACTCCTAGGACGACGCACCCTGGTGGCCTGGCCTTCACCCCTTCGCATCGTCCGTGTCTGAATCCTTCTGGTACCGTTGGATACTCATCATCAAGGCTGTATTACTTCTTCTATCTAAGCACGATGTTCTTATTCTCTCCACATTTCCCATGCGCATTTTGGTAATACCCAGTGTGTCAAATGGAGATTATCAAAATCTCATATCATGCCAAACCTCCTAAACATTACACAACCTTTAGCTGTCTATCGTAGTTTCGGAGTAGGTGGGGACTCGAATTATATTCTTAGCGAAGGCGAATTCTTACATTTCTCTCTACAATGTCTTTGGCCCTCTAGCCGTGACACATCTGCCCATCTACTGCCGATTTCGTAATGGCATGGTAGAGGTGGCCTGTAACTCCCCATCTTTCTGACAGGCTCCGTCGACCCTGACGGAAAATAGTTTGATCCTCCTCATTGAGCTATGTCCGATGCGCGGATTCTCCCGCTTTCGATGCCAAACGCGTAGCATCTTGAAATATCTGCGCAACGTTGCAACAGCTCTTCGACGACACGCCGTACGGCTGTCGTCATTCGCCTTTGTAGTTCACAGATGCATATCCTGGTAGGTTTGGTAATTTCACGTGAGTTCCTATTTTGGATCTTAAATGACCTCTTGAATCGGAATGATTGGTCACCGTTGCTCATGACCTCGTGACTTGAGATCTGGTGACTTGTGAAAGGTCAGTGCTTCGGATATGTCATGAATAGACGTCGCGACGACAGCAAAGATATTTCAATTTACACACACGTCTTCTGAAGCAACAAATCTCACATTCGAACGCTATTTACCACCTGATTATTTCTCATTGTATCCCCCTGAAAACCAATGGCGACCCTCGGGATTACCGCTCGCTCCGCTATGAGAGCTCGGCCAAGCTCAAGACCTCTCATGGCGCTTCGCACCATGGCGACTGTGCAGACAAAGGTACCCGAGCCCAAGACGAAAACATTTCAAATCTATCGCTGGAATCCGGATGAGCCGGCGCGAAAGCCCCGCATGCAATCATACACACTAGACCTCAATAAAACCGGGCCCATGATGTTGGATGCCTTGATCCGGATAAAGAATGAAGTCGATCCTACCTTAACCTTTCGACGTAGTTGTAGGGAAGGAATATGTGGGAGCTGCGCCATGAACATTGATGGCGTCAACACGCTGGCATGTCTCTGTAAGTAGCGGATGCGTCGTAGTTGAGAGGCAGCAAACTGACTCGTCACAGGTCGCATCCCAACCGATACGAGTAAAGAAACCAAAGTTTACCCTCTTCCTCATACCTACGTCGTTAAGGATATTGTGCCCGACCTCACCCAGTTCTACAAGCAATATAAGTCAATTAAGCCCTACTTGCAGCGATCAACACCTTCGCCAAATGGAAAGGAATTTCTTCAGTCCAAGGAAGACCGGAAGAAGTTGGACGGGCTATACGAGTGTATCCTATGTGCGTGCTGCTCAACATCGTGCCCTTCGTACTGGTGGAACTCCGAGGAATACCTGGGACCTGCCGTGCTCATGCAAAGTTACCGCTGGCTGGCTGATTCGCGGGACGAGAAGAAGCTTGAACGGAAACAGGCTTTAGATAACAGCATGAGTCTCTACCGATGCCACACCATTCTAAACTGTTCGCGGACATGTCCAAAGGGGCTGAATCCCGGCCTGGCTATTGCCGAGATCAAGAAAGAAATGGCTTTTTAAACTTTCTGAAATAATCTGCTTTGCTGCGCAATCATGGCTTTATGGGAATCAGGGTATAATACAGATGGGTTAGCCGTTGTCTCTTTAATGCTAGCTTCTAGCTAGACGCTTGGAATCATTATGCTAGTTTGAATATAAAGTTTGATTATCAGCATATTGCCATACGTGCATTTTCGATGAATCAAGTGACTTGTGCCCCCGGAATCTAGATGAAGACTGGTAGCCATCACATCGTGTAGCCCCCGTCGCAACGCGGCAGTAGCTGCATACGTCTTACGTTGTGGAAAATGGGATGGACTGCAAGTACGTAGAAGCGATCAACTCGACTCGGGTCTCGTGCGTAAGACTAAAAAGGCCTTGGATACCTGGTAAGCACGATGATTTCTACCGCTGGAAGCTGCTGTGCACATGATGGTTGGCTTACAATCAGGACGTTGTGCCGGCCATCCACTGATCCCCAAGGAATGAGTTTAGCACACGAGGTTCAGCTTCTAAAGGGAAACTCCAAATTTAACTCATTGTCCTACGCATCTTCTAGCTGCCCATGACAGGAGCATGAGACATCCGAGCGCACACTGGCATGGCCAACGCTCCTTACAGCGCATGGCAATAAGGCCTTCGATGCAGCTCACAATTTCTTGGGAGGATTGGAATTCGCAAGAGTATTTTGCACCCGGCCCCTCTCCCGCGTCCGCCTCTTGGGATCCCAATTCTCACATTCGTATCTAGTTAGTCGGGCTGGAGTGGTGGAGCACCATGTAGAAAGTGTTTCTACGCTATGCTACCAGATGGAGGATACCAGAATATTCCGTCACGCCGTTTTGGGGAAATAAGGCGAGAGTCTAAATGCGCATGATGTGTAAGCAAGTGGCGTTTCCCACCAATCGAGCCCTCATGGCCTTGAATATGAGACATCCGTTCGCCCAACTTGATTTATCGCAAGCATCCCCAAATATTCTTCCAATAAATTCTCCATAAGCTCTTACTATTACAATACTTTCACGGAGAATCTGCATGGCTTGGATTCCGGTACCATTGCGGACAGGACATCGCTGCCTCGGATCCAGCACGATACGCGTCAGAGCGGGAGACGGATGCCAAAGGCACGCTCGAACAATAAAATCTCTATTGTTGCCCTTTACTGGACACAAAATAGATGATTAGAAAAAAGCGAACACACCCTAGAGCTGAATAGTGTTTAATTAAGTGAGAACTTGTGCGGCGTGGTGCTGTTCGAGGGCATAGACTACTGCTAGCATTGGTATTCCCAGTCTACAGATGGAGGAGCTGCACGGCCTGCACAATCAAAGACTCGGAGAATAAAATCTAACCTAACGCTGAGTACGCTTCAAATCGTGTCAAGATGTCGACAACTCATTCATTCCTTCAATTGCGGTCTCTCAATGCAAGCCGTGACGGGGCTTCTGGTCTGTTCTTTTGGACCGCCGTTACCTTCTTTGTAAAGCGCACTCAATCTTCTATTTTCTTTACCGTCTCCATCAGGCCACCACACCTCAAGGGGCCCGTCGATACATCACCTTCAATTTCTATGGGCAGGAAGAGATTAATTTCAAATTGGAATGCCGCTATTTTTAGCGACGAGGTTTGGTCAGCGTTTCTACGGGTGCGTGGTAGGGCCTGGCCAGTGATATGGGTGGCAAGCTGCAGATAAGAAAGGGCTCCATGGGATGAAAGTTCTTTGGCGGGAATATTTTGACAGGTAGTTAGTTCCTATTATGGTTCGACTGTCGTTTCAGCATAGGTGAATACCTAAGCGCATTATTTGGAATCCTGATAAGAAGACTGTTAGTAAATGATGGACAAAACGGTACCAACAGTTAAAAATTTGAAGCAGTGTCACGGCGTAGTGAGTGCGGACAATGTGGTCGTGCGGCAAGCGTTCGACCTAAGAAAAAGGTACAAGCAGTGAGACTCACAGAGTTGAGCGAATCGTATAAGTACCCTGTAGTTGTAGTTAGATGTCTCTTTTCTCTTCACAGAGTTTATTAAACTGAATTAGTTATTACCGACTCGGTTCCCTCACAGTTGCGGTAGAGTTTACGCATGGGCCTTGCTAATGAAGAGCTGGACTGACAAGCGTATGGAGTAAGGAACACGCAGCGTGGCAAGCGAATCTCTCCTACGCTGACCTGCCAGGTTCCTCGCATCAAAGACAATGTCCCCATCCTTCTCTTTTTCCCAATTTTTGTATTTCCAAACACGAATCTTTGAATGTAAAAACTTTTAATTTCTCATTTAGAACTGAGTCCCTTTCATCTCGTCACAATCCAAGATTACTGTCAAGTGTACTGATCGGTCCTAGCCATTACGCCCACGGCAACATGGGTGACTATCCAGCAATCCTCCGTGCACTTGGTGGACGGTGGGTGAAGCGGGCTATACCTGTAGTCTACGCCGGACGGTGAAGACGGTACGCAATCTCCAAGCACGCACGAATGAGAAGATTTCAGCAGCTTTGGGGATATGCGTAACCTGTCCTGTTTTAAGCAAGAAAATTCTAGTCTCGAAAAGAGCTGATGAATAATCATTTAGAAAGGAATGGGAATCTTCGCACACTGGAGAAGTATCTTTCTGGCGATTGACGGAGCCCGCGGAGAGGATGACGCCGATCTTCAGCGACAATATGAAAGGCTGCTGGATATACTACAGTTTAAAGGCGTCGTGGTCCTTCCGAATGAGGGCCAGGGAGAGCTAGAGGAGTGTACAGATATCCAACTAATCTCTCGTACAGCTCACTAGTATCCAGACCGACTTCGCGGCATTTCTACCTGATCTGCGACTCCGAGACTTGCATACCATACGGCTTGGCTCGGAATCCACCTCTATCTATTTTTAGCATCACATTTTATCTACGTATGCGGCTAGCTTGCTACGACACAGTATTGGAGAGAATTATAGATTAGATGACTCAACTTAAAGGGAGAGCACTCATGCCTCGAATTTCGGTTGCGAGTACCACTGCGAAGGTATGGGAGTTGTATCTTTATCCCAACTTAGCCCTAGCCCGTGAATATCCACCCAGGGAAAATTCTCACTAATCAAGAGTTGTCCATGGCCTAATCTCCCGGCAAAATGTGGTCAGAGGCATCTCTTCCCAAGTAGAGTTGGTGCCTAAGCTACTCAAACTATACCGGAGAACGCCACCAGGAGGCGGACCACAACAGCTTCCGTCGTTGGCTTGTCTTTACAGTGTCGTCTTACTCTTGCCAAAATTCGGAATATCACGCCCTTCGAGGTTAAATAATTCCTTTGCATCATCTTCTTAACCTGTCCTGATCTCTCTCACGTCCATACCATAGAACTGTCTCCTAGATTTGCGCGCCACGATTTTTTTCTCCCGTCGGATACAAATATCGGCGTGGGCGTCTATATGGTGGTCAGCTGAGGCCAGAAAATAGTTGATGTGTGGTGTGGCCATTGGAATGAATGTGTACTCGGTCGTACTTGCAGACTTGATGATTTCTTTGTGGGAACTGATGTCGTTGGGAGTGAGAGATTGACTTGGTGGTGTATCTAGAACCGCTTCTTCGCAGGCTAATTTCTTGAAGATTGCGGAATTTGCCTAAACTTGGCACTGGGCGAATATTTGATTCCCAGGTACGAAGACACCGCGCACAGGGGTTCAGCCCTTATCCTTGAGCCCAGTGCGAGTTGTGAGCTTGTGCGTTCGATCGTATACGTTGCGAAGTGGCTTACGGTTGACTAGGGACTAAAAGCACGCCTGTAATAAGTATCACAGAATGCCTGGTAAGTCGTTAAGTCAGGTGTAAGTTGTTCATTTAATCATCCCCTACCAAACTCCTACATAGACTACAATACGCTAAGCTAGGCTGACATTATGTAATTAATACACCCAGGACCTGTTTGTGCTGTGATCCACTTCTTGGTGCCAAGTCTCCTGGACACACAAGCTTTCCACCCCTTGTCATTGATGCCTACTAGGCCAGAATCTAAAATTTCCCTTCCTCAAAACAGCGAACTACCACAGACATTAACATCGAATAGAATTTAAGTCCCTACTGAGTCTATGACTATGAGGGCCGGCCTGGACAAATTCTTCACCTCCCAGTGGTGCCGGTGTAATCGCTCAGTATGCTCTGCATATCTGGGATAGCCAAGAAGAATCGCATTCAAATCGAAGTTGAAAGCACTCACAAGCACATCTAACATCGACGACTTCTCGTCAATGTAGGACCTATCATCCTGTCGCGAGTCCTCCACCTCAATCTTACTACACCACCTCGCCTCAAATACCGATAGTGGCGTTACTACAATTGCAATCGGGCATCTGCCTCATAAAAAACCGGCCATCTCCCACTGCACATTTACGATGCTATGTATACCCGCGAGGAGGAATTCAAGTCATAATCTACAAAGCTCGGGTCTTGGTCTATGGGGGACCATTTCTCTAATGGGGCTTCACATCTTGAGGGAGGACAGGCAGCTGGGACGTGGGACGAACGAGTGGAGAGGTCACAAACGGGCATACTGGGACGCACATTTTTCGAGTGTATTCGACTCAAGGCTGTTTGTGTGCGCAAAGGCAACGATTTCGGATAATGCGACCGACACTTTAAAAACAGGCAACGATGGAAGGTGTTTTGGTCCGCCTCCTGGTCGTCATCTCCCCGAATTAAAGTCTGTTTTGATAGTGTTAAGATCATGAGCACATACGGGTTGAATCTCTACCTTGGAAGGATGCTATATGTGTTCGTAGGACACCAACGTAGATATAGAAAAAACTTGTGTTAACTGAGGAACTCTTGTATTCAGATGACCCGTTCTTTCTCCTACTGCTAGGAGATACGTCTCCACATATACATGTCCTGGACAGCAATATCACAGTTCCTACACTATCCAGTAAATTCCATTCCATTCTACTCCATACTATTCGATCCCCTATCATTCCATTCCATACTATTTTATCGACATTAAAACTTGTTGTCGATATTGTGTATGTATGTCTGTTATCACAGACA